TATGTCAGTGACATGAATATCTCTGTTTCCTCTGGAACAGACCACAAATTTTGTCATCTTTCATCTGAGGAGCAAAACCCCAAAAAGCTGATTTTACTAGAGGGAGTTTACAGCCAAAGCCTCCTCTGCTCCTTCGGCAGGATGGCAGATCTGCTCCCAGACCTGCTTGCACATCAAGGAGCTTTGAAAGCTCCAAGTGCTTAACTGGAAGGGACACAAAGATCTCCAAGCTTATTTTGCAGGCAATTAAGCTGTTGCTTTTCTTTCCCTCCTCCTGGCAGACAAGTGCTACACCAGGGAAGGTATGAGACTCCAGGCACTGACAGGTTGGGTGCAGCCACTCAAAAAAAACAAGATTTTATTTTTTTTTTTTTTTTTTTTGTTACTGAAACCATCCATCTGCCAAATGTCACTAGCTGATAAGAACTGCCCGGTTTTAAATCCCTATTTGTAAATAGATGTTGACTGACATAATTAATGTCTACCATACAACACAATTTGAATTACAAAGTAAAGGCAATTTAAAAATCAGCCTCCACATGATTACCATTGATACGCAGTCTATAAATTCCATAGCCCCGGGAATTATTTAAATTTCAGAAAATGAATGAAAATCAGTACAAGATGGCTTTCAGGAAAGTGAGACCTGAAGTGGAGCATCCGAGATAAACTAAATGGTCTCTTGAGATAAACAGTCTTTGGTGCAGTAATACCTATGGCTCCAGGCCACCATGGGTCTGTAATGTCTGCTCTACTGTCAGGGCTGTTATCTGCTGCCCCACTGCCACCTACTCAGAATAAATCCCCTTAACTGATAAGCACATTATGTTGAGGACCCCTGCTTGTCACTTCCATCTAACTGGGTGGTTTATATGAACCTCGTGGCACTGTATTGCTCCGCTCTAAGAGGCCGACACTGCTTGCTGGCTGGGATCAAGCCTTCTGTTCACAAGTGGAGGATGGTTGGTGGAAGAAGTGCAAAATGTTGAAGGCAAAATATGGGCTATGGCACTTGGAAATGTCTATGTCAGCTTCGGTTTTCCTGCTAACTAGAGATAACAAATTTAAGTAGACAACAGAGATTTCTAACAAGCAAGCTGTGGAATTAGTCTGGGGAGAAAGACCAACACCACAAGACTAATTTAAAGCATGTATGGCTCTAAACTGGAAGCGGTGAGGTTTAGATTAGATATTAGGAAGAAATTCTTTCCTGTGAGGATGGTCAGACACTGGCCCAGGTTGCCCAGAGAAGCTGTGGTTGCTCCTCCCTGGAAGTGTTTGTGGCCAGGCTGGATGAGGCTTTGAGCAACCTGGTCTAGTGGAAGGTGTCTCTGCTGCTGGCAGGGGGGTTGGGACTGGATGAGCTTTGAGGTCCCTTCCAACACAACAGTGTGGCACAACCCAGAGCTCTCCTGCGTGTGGATCCTGCTCAGGAGGAGGATCCAGCACAGAACAGGTCACTGTTGAGCTTTGCTGCTTTCTCCTATCTTTATGCTGTCACTTAAGGCTTTAACTCAATTTCATTATTTTCCCGCTAGTCCTTTTGTAGAATCAGAAGAAATAACTTGAGGGCATCTGGATTTCCTAGAAAAACAAATCTCTTCAGAAATAAATAGTACCACAAAGGAGCAATGAAATCTGCTTTCAATGAAGCAAATGTGTTACTGCAAATCAGAGGCTGGCAGTTCAGTTCTGCATAAATACACCAGATATGTGGTAGTGATATCCACATGATATATTACATTTATCACGCACCTTTGACCATCTCACCTGCACTCGGCTCCCCCAGCGAGGAAATGTTAACATTCCTGATCTTTCATCAGTTTCAAACAGCTGCCATTAAAAAAACACAAAACCCCCCAAACCCACAACAAAGAATTCCACATCTTCCCAGAGATAACCTTATCTTTCTCTTTTGAAATATGAGGTTTTCCTCTAAATTATGTTGGCACAAAATCCAGGGTTTGGGGCAGGATGTTCAATCAGGCTTAAGAGCATATAATTAAAGTTACCTATCAGGGGCAGAAAGGGAAACAAGCATCACTGGGAATCACTGTAAGAGCTACAAAAGATGTGTAGCATGAGAAATAAAAGCAGGTATTTGCATCACTGGAAACAGAAGGGTCCCGGATTTTTATCTGCACATATGCAATATTTGTTTATTGTGCAAGAAATGGTCAATTTGAATTTAGGTTATAAATAAAATGAAGCTATAAATAAAACAAAGACAAATTAAATCCAGGCTGCTCCAGTCTGAGACACTTTGTTATCATCTCTGGAATCAAAACTAGGAATCATCTGCAACTTCCTCCAACGAGCGAGAGCATCTCGCAGCACTAGCTATGAACCCCACCAGTGATGTTATTGACCTCCTGACATCACAGAAGAGTGCAGACAGCTGTCCTAGGGTACCACACAGTATGGTGTAACACTTGGTTAC